GCATCAATTAGAGGAAATGGGCTAAATCTGTTTTAAAAATCTCGACTGTGCCTTGGAGAAATGCTAAAACAAATTGCTCCTTTCACTAAAGAGACCACGGAGATAGATTTTAAGGGTTTGCGCACGCAGACACATAACAAAAAATTATGTTCCTCATATTTTTTGGCTATTATGGTTACATAAATCCAGATAGGCGAAGTGAGATATTATAGACGGGGTATACAGTGTGGTGCAACGGGAGTGGGTGATGAAGACCAAACTATTTTCAACTCAATCGCTGTATTTAAAACCCTGAGGAACATGTCATTCCTTTATTCCTGGCCTGGTTACATCCAAGGGCAACAGCGAGCGCCAAAAGTACACTTGAGGTGCTTACAGTCTGCATGCTCACATAAGTATATATATGGACACACAGTAGACACACATACAGGGCACGGTCTTTGTTAAATACGGCCTCTTATTCCAGCTAGTGTGTGGTTTGATCAAGACAAAGTTGCATGTGTTAAATTATAGAAATGTAGGTATATAGGACTCCCTACGTCAGAGGGACTGCTACAACAAATGTACTTTACTTTCCTAAAAGACACACGACTGAAGAAGACTTTCTTCACTATTAACATCCAGCCTCTCCCATTTGGAGTTGTGTCATGCTTTCCACTGGTCCTCCAAACCAAACCTCTCTACACTCAGAATGAAGCGAAATGTCAAGCAGCAGCAAACAAGGCCAGAGTTTAAACTCTGCCACCCAATTAATTGACACCCACTCTAAACACAGCCAACATATGAGAAACTTGGAAGTCTGCCTCATTTCAAATCCTGGGAATTCAACAGCTTTTCAGCGTCAGCACTTGACAAATGTGACTTTATTTAGTTTTTTTCTTTTCTGTCTTTTCTTTATGACACTCTGTCAAATTGTTTTTCTACATTAGCCTAATGTAGAAAAAAAATGCTGATCACTAATGAAGAAAAAAAAACAGACATTCATGGAATTAAACTCAAAAAGGGCACATATTATCAGTCCACACATTTACATCTGGATCTTGATTTGTATTTGAATAGCAGAAAAAAAAAATCTAGTTCTGTGTATATTCACATATGAAGCTGTCTGGCCACACAGACCACTGTACAGCACAGAAATACGGAGCAGATCAGCACTGCTGCTTTCTAACACAAATCCCCACTGGGTCACTGCTTTTATGATTAAGACCCGTTTTTTTATTACCATTACAGAACGTCCTTTCAAATAAGGCCAGTTTTATGAAGAGGGAAACCCCTAATTTAATGTGATTTTTCAGCTAGCTGAGCATACTCTTTTCATTTGCTTTCTCGTGCTTTTAAGTATTGCATACATGAAGGAAAACACTTCTGGAGAAGCTGAAGTGGACCCACTAACTCTGATCAGCCTTACACAAAAGATATGCTGGTACGTACTGTAAGCTGCCACACACCTTTTTATTCCCATGATATTTATTTGTGTAAAATGAAGCTGTGGTCTAAGACGGCTGTAAGACACATGAAAATCCTGGTTGTATGTGTGTCTGTGTGTATACTTGCATAAAAAAAGAAGAATGTGTGTTTTCCTGCACTAAATATGGTTGTGTTTGTTTGTATCTAGCTAAATATACGTGTGGCGGAGTTGGCGGCACATTGCCCCTGTGTTTAACGGGTCACACATGTTTTTATGAAGGGTAATTAACCCATTAAGGGATCTGGTGAAGGCTAATCCAACCGGTCTGCAGACATCAAACAGGAACTGTGGCTAGGTCTAGACAGGTGAAAGCTGGGCGTTCAGTAACCCAAGCAGGCCAAAAACATAATACTGACTACTCTGTAGCATGGACCTCTGCTTTAGTTCACAGTGTTTGTGCTTGACCTCCTTGTTCTCTCTGAGTGTCCATTTCCACAACAAAAGCCTAACAGGTTGTATGTGATTATACGGATACACCGCTGAGAAATGTGTAGTGAAATGTAATACTGACTGACTGGGCGATTGGGCCGGGTGTTGGTTTCCTGTTCAACAAAAGGCCAGAATTTACTTTAAGTCTCCGGGACGAAAACTCGAGAATGACATTTTATTCAGAAAGCAAAATTTAAATTTTTTGTCGAAAGTACAACACCCCAAAAATAAATATATAAAGCCGTTGCCAATATTTGAATAAATGCAGATGGTGAGACAGAATTTTACCCAACTATGTGAAGTCTTTGGACACATAAAAGTGAAGTTAAAAGTTTAAAGCTACCAATGTTTCATGCTGTGACAGCCATGCTGTCAAAATGGCCACTTTTATCCGTTTCAATAAATTACAGATTTTTTTTGCCTCGTAGGCTTTGGGTGTGCGACTGACTTTTTAGGGCAGTTGATGGAAATTCCCGTAACAAGCCAGACGAGTATAATTCTGAGAAAGCTGGAAAAGGAGGCTGGAGACGTTGCCACGTCACACTGAGAGCTTAGAGGTGTTAAAAGTATGTTCCACACATTCCCATAGAGACAGAGACGAGTGATTCATGCTGGGGACACATATCGGCACTGACAATAAACAAAGAGTCTCCTGAGACGGAAGCTTCACTGTTGCTAATGAAAGGAATCACATAATTCAAGCAAATTGGCCACGGTGATTAGTCACAGAAAATCTGGTCTTGTTTTGCACAAACCCCATTTATTTTTTTATTTTAACCGATGGTATTAATATGGACTACTTAACATGCACTGGACATGTGTGGAGCTGCTTCTTAGTATTTTCGAGTTTGTTTCTTGACACATTAGCTTTCAAACCATCTCGTGTTAGATAGGTTTCAAACATTCTTGCAGTGAAATCTTAAAACAATCAGTACAGTAACTGTAGCTCTGAGCAAACGAGATGCCGGAGATGAGGGGCCGGTTAGGTTTAGCATTGCTATCAGACTGATTTCCTGGTTTTCGACGAGCACTTTTGAAGTGAACACCTCTATGTGACCTCAAGCCATCAACATCAAATAAATGAGACTCAATCAAAAGCTTCCACAAAACACAAAAACTATGAACGGGAAGACTCTCAGACGTTGTCGTGGAGAGCTGACAAGATGAACTCCTGCAGAGTGGGCCACGCTGTTGTAACAGTTATTTATTCCTCTTTTCAATTCAAGGGTCCTTCTGTTTTAAATGGACAACATTAAGGGGAACCGGCACAGAGGTCTGTCCTCGGAGGCACGGTCCAAATTCCAGAGAATCTTGGCAACTCCTCGGGATAGATGGGACCCTCATGGATATAAAACCCCACAATGGATGAATAGGTAAACAGAAGGGTGTGAAAGAGTGATGGCGAAAAGAGAATGTTCACTCTCAGAGAGGCACAAAGAGGGAGGTGTGTGAGTGGGAGATGGGAGAGAGCCAGAGTGTTTGGGGGAGGAGAGGGGGTGAGCAAAGAAGGGTCTGGAGGGAGTTGTTCGTGAGGGAGAGTAAAAGTTTTGTCTCCAGGCTTTTAGAGGGTGCTGTGTGTAGTGTTAACTCAATCAAAAGGTGAATTATACCTCCTGAGACACTCAGGTAACCTTTCATTATGGCCCTAATCCTTCTTAATAACAGAGCTGCAATGTCGGCAATGCCCCATTAGACAGAGAACCACTGAGAGGGAGAGCCATTATTCCCCACAGGCCTGTGGAAATGTGAACACACAACACTCACTCACACACACCCGCAGTGACAGATGAAATCAATCACAAATTCGACTTGAGCGAGGAAAACGCAGCATATTCCTCCATAAGGAGAGGGAGACACTGAAGGAGAGTAAATGTGTGTTTATGTGGGATCAGAGTTTCTCTGAAGTTTCACTTTTGTCAGGCAAGACTGAAAACTGACTCTATAAAAGCAAAATCAGACTGAAAATGCCGATTTGGAATAAAAGATTGAGAGGACTGTTAACTAGTTTTACACCATTGAAGTTTACAAAAATACACACACACACTGGTTCCAGTTCAGTTTACTCTGGATACCATAAAACACTGTCGACAATTTAGACTGTTGGAATTTATATGCAATAAAATATTGTTTTTCAACTATTATTGGTTACGGGTTTTTTTCTTTTTACGTCTTTATAGTCGACACAAGTTTGCCTGATTTAGAAAAGACGACCTGTTTTACTATTTAGATCAGAAGCTCTATTTAGACGTTCTGTAGCTTGCAAGAAAAAAGAGTTTTGCAGATTTGCAGCAGGTCAAAAAACTAATGTTGACCAACTAATGTTAATAATTAAAATATAAATTAGTGACAGCAAGTGTGATAAATGTCTTTTAGTTTAATGGAACAAAAAGGTTATAAAAAAGTTATGTAGCAACTGAACATGTAGGCTATTAAAGGTGAAATTAACACATTAAAAAAAAAAAAAAAAGGTTTTAAAAAACTTGTTTGAAGTTTCACAAGAAGATAGTTATATAAGTAAAATGAATGCTCCAACAAAGAAAATGTAAACTTGTTACACATTTCAAATGCTTAGGATTTATCCTTGTCTTATTTCCCAGCCTAATCAAGCTGCAACCCGTGATCCCACTATGGCCCTAACTCAAGCAACTTAAAGGCAGTCAACCCTAAAATGTGCAACAAAATGAGCAGCCTGATAAGATCTAATGAAAGCAGGACTAATGTAGCGTAATAAATCAACAGGCTGTCCACAATGCTTCTTCATCCAGCAGTAATTAAGCTACTTCTATAAAAGTTGAGATGTGAAATAAAGATTTATGGGTTCTGTAGACTAATCTTTATCAGTGATGTAGCAGTAGGCTAAATAAAAAGTTGGATAAACACAATCTATCATCATGGCAATTGAATGACTAATAATAATATACAGAAGCTCAGCCTAGATTTTAACAGGGACATTAATTATGTGTTCTAATATTATAGATCTTACCTCAGTTTGATAGTATGAATGTTAATTTACGTTTAGGATTTAGCTCGGTCCAAAAAAGTGTTTTATTATCAGTTTAGGAATGTTTTTCCTCCTTACATAATTCATTATAAACGTACTCACCTGTACCACTCCAGTCCGTTCTCATAGTTGCGGTCGAAGAAGTGCGGCTCCGCTCCCACGGCTCTGATGTCTGGATGAACCCGGAGAAACTCCAACAGAGCCCGGGTCCCTCCTTTCTTCACCCCGATGATGAGAGCCTGGGGCAGCTTCTTGCTCCCCTCCCCGAGCGGACTGAGTTTACCTGCAAACCTCGGCGACACTTTCCTGGAAGCAACTAAATCCGGAGGAGGCAAGATGAGAGACTCCTCGGGCAGCTCCAATACCTGTCCCGCGCGCTCATCCGCGAGGACCCGCGAGGAGGAGAGTCTGGCGGCCCCGTAGCCCATCAGCTCCGACCCGGCGGTCCATTCGTACACCAGTCTTTTAGTCCTCTCCTCGAAAAGCCCCGCCGCCCGGTTGGAGGACGCTTTGACCGGCGAGGGTGAGGTGGTGCTGCAGCGGTCGGTGAGGCAGTGCAGGAGGAAGAGAGAGGTGAGGAGGGAGCACAGCATGACCGCCGCTTTCCTGAGGATGCCTCGGGACGGGGGGTCCAGTTTACTGATGCGGCTAAAAGCCATACCGGTCCCTTGGTGGTCGGTACAGCCATGCTAGGCACACATTATTGAGTCTTCTTGCCATTAAGAAATCGAGGAGTGAGTCTTCATCCACAGTGTGCTGTGGATAACACCTCTGTCTCCTCCAGAAGAAAAGTGCCGAATGATACCTGCGGCACACAGGTGAGAAACTGACCGAAAACAGGCAGAACAAGAGCCGACAGGTGCTTCTAGACAGTGTAAGACAATGTATGCTGTCAGGTAATGAGGTCTCTTCTGTCCTCGCTCTGTGTAGGATGCCACCGCGAGCCCTGATGTACCAGCTGCACGTGTATAGAGTTGTAAACTTGTCTCGCACGTCAGGTTGCCTGACAGGCACCCCCCTGGCCAATGAGATGAAGAGAGGAGCAGGCAGGAGCCAATGATATTCCAGGTGGGAGGGGACAATGATACGCGGAACATCTCTGCCAAATTGGAGCTAGTTTCCATGTACAAAATAACAGCGGTGGAGAGTAACTAAGTACATTTCTGTGGTATTACTTTACTTGAATAGTAATATTTAATCTACTCCACTACATTTCAGAGAGAGAAATATTGTGCTTTTTACTCTAACTACATTTATTTGACAGATATAGGCTACTTACTTATTACATTTCAAATTAAAATGTTACATTAAAAAACAAACAAGCAAACAAAAAAAAAAATACAAATGATTTACATTATTTAAGATTAAACCGGTGGAGCCTAACATTTCTAGTGTGCGTCCCCCTTTCAAAAAGCAGTGTCTACTTAGGGCACCTGGTCATGTTGATAGTATCTATATAGACAAGATAACAATGTTGTTATGAAAAATACCAACAGAAGAAAAAATTCTGTTACAGTATATAGTTTTTTCTTTTCTCCTCTCCTATTAATCATCTCTCGACCCCTCAGATTTATTTTGTGACCCTTTGGAAGGGCCTGACCCCTAGGATGGGAACCACTGAACTAAACTGCCTAACTGTATTCATTGTACTCCAAATGATCTCCACTTTGACCAACTACAACAGTAACATGCTAAATTTACACTGATGAAATAATTGTTATTTGCAGTTCTACTAACATTAATAACATATCAGACAAACCTAAATTTTCTGTCAAATGAGTACTTTTACTTTTGGTACTTTCATTGCATTTAGCTGATGATTAATTTATGTTAAATAGGATTTCGCTGGACTTTTACTTGTCTTGAAGTATTTTTACACTGTGGTGTTGGTACTTTTATCTAACTAAAGGATCTGACTACTTTTTCCACCACTGCAAAATAAATTTGTAATTATTTCTGAAGTGGAACAAATGCTGCATAGACACACTGAAATACACACCGCACTAAGAGACATGTCACAAACACGTTTGCAAACTTGCAAAGTACATGCAAATGTTCAATTTCAATACAATTATTTTATTTATTTAATCCTTTATGTAAATGTTATTCTCCTTGAGGTCAACCTCTCTTTTTTGTTTGTTTCTGTGAACACAGCATACACTGAAATTCACCACAACACACAGTACATAAAACTCATAAGACATGCTAAAAACAAAACATGCACACACACTCACACACACCTCTGTGGACAAACAGACAGCTGTCTGCTTGCAGGGGGAATGTTTGTTTAGTGCACAGTCCCCAGTTCTTCCACTGTAGCAACATGTTTTGAGATGCCAAAATGATTCTCTTCCATCTTCGAAAAACACTCGTGAGGCCATTTCTCTGTCACTGACAGCGGCCACATGCAGCTGAAGTCAGGCCACCAAAGGAGATGGCCTCTACCATGAACTCTTTTTTATGACACACAGAAGAACAAAAAAGTGAAATAATGATAACGGGGCACATTATTTCTTTACAAGTGAACAAGAACAGAACCAAATGTTTCACATCTGCTCCTGCTTTCTGGGTATTAGCATGAGAATGTTCAGGCAGTGCTTCAATGCTGCACAGCTCACTGCTCGAGAAAGAGGATGGAGACCTCAACACTGGGCTGTATTGCCAGTGCCAGATGTCCCCCCATGTTGTCGAAACAATACAAGGGGGTGTCCCGCATTTAACAAATCACACCCCGTGCCTTTTCTCTGTCTCCCTGACACTGGAGAGATGGTCAGCCCCCTCAAACCAACTGTGATGACACCCAGCATTCCCTCACAGAGGTCAAATGGCTTCACACTCCTTCTCATCATAGACAAATACTGGAAAAATAATGATGCCCAAAAAAGTAAGTTTCTTTTCACGACAAATTGAATGCTGAACGTGTCTAGAATTGTCAAATAAAGTGTTGGCACACTTTAATAATTTATTTATGTATTTACACAGTTATGAAAGGAACCACCTCACAGCATAGTAACTACATAGAGGTTCCCAAACGGTTTGCCTGGACCCCCTAGAGAGGTCACAAGATAAATCTGCAGGGTAAGACATGATTAATGTGGAAGGAGAGAATTCAAAACAAGCTGACTTTTCTGTCACCCAGTGGTGGAAGAAGTACTCAGATCCTTTAATTAAGCAAAAGCGATAATATCACAGGGTAAAAATATTCAGTTACAAGTAAAACATTTTGATAAATCTCACTAATAAATAGCATCAAAGTTCGCATTATGCAAAATTGCAAATATCCTACCAAGTGTTATTATACATGAAATTATTGGAGTGGAGGAAGTATTCAAATCCTTAAGCACTCTTTATCAAGTAAAAGTCTGGCAATAAAAATGTCACTGAAGTAAATGTATTATTGCAAAATGTACTTCGAGTTTAACAGGTAATAGTACTCATAATGCAGAAAAATGGCCCCTGTGAGTGCCATACTATTATTCATTATATTATTGAATCATTATTATTGGTGCACTCATGTGTATGCAGCATTTTAATGTTGTAGCAGCAATTTACTTAATTACTTTATATACTATTGGGTGCTTCAACCTTTAAGGAATGAATCAAATGTTTTTTAAATGATCATGAAGTTTTGAATGAAAAGTTTGAATCTGCAAAGTAACTATAGTTATGAAATAAATGTAAATTTCTCTCCAAAATGTAGTGTGGTAGAAGTATAAGAAGAATAAAATGGAAATGCTTTTAGTACCTCAAAAGTGTACTTAAGTACAGCACTTGAGTAAATGTATTTAGTCACTTTCCACCACTGATTGTAGCCCTTCAGGCCTCTCAAAATGATTAGAATGAAATAATCTGAAAAAGAAAAATCACGACTCACAGACATATTGCATTTGTGACAAGGGCCCGCTGATAAAGACCATTGATTAGTCTAATAGCACTGTTGACATCAGTGGCGTCTGAGTAGGTACTCTGGGGCGCGTCTTGTGCAATGTACCCATTTTCAGTCGGGTTTAATGTTTGTGCAGCGACACATACTTCCTTTAAAAAAAAAAACAGCATTTAGTGTGTAATTACACACCCAGACATTGGTGCTTTTAGAAAAATGTGCAAGCAGTCTAGAAGGCATGTAAAAACGTAATTCGGCTTTCATCTTCACAGTTTATCCAAATTGCACCACTATGGTTACACTGACGCAGCCTTTTTGGAATCTTGGATGCAGGGTTGGGGTTTTAAGTTTAAAGGGAATACAAACACAAACTGTTTATTATCCTTTGAATATAATCATGCATTTACTTTGCATATTGAATAAATTCTCAGGGCATGCCATGGGAAAGCAAACATGTGCCAAGGCAAAACCAAATAAGGAACGGCTGAATTATCTGAATGTGATTGTTGTTTCATAAAAATGTATAAACCATACCTAGACTTGTGCATTGGCTCTCTCAAATGCACCATCAACAGTGAGAATATACTCATGCAGAAACTGTTTCCACTGCTGAGCTGGCCAAGTAGTTAGACTGTGTGTCTCAGCCATGCACATAATCTCTAGACAGGTTTATGAACTGAGGTTTGGGAGCCGTCAGTTTGGAGGAGACATCTTTACTGCCAATATTATGGCTTTACGTTTCTCGACTTGAAATCCGTGGCGATAAAATTCAGTTTTTTTTATTTTTGGGACAATATTCATCCTTAGCTTCGGACAACCAGCCCATTTTAATGCCATATAAATTTAATAAGTTGCTTAAATGTATGCTGTATATTGAAATATTATTTAAAAAAAAACGTACAATGGTCCATGTGGCAAACATGGTTAGAAACAGATGCAGCTAGTAAAAAAAAAGATTTACACATGGAAATTGTATGGATAAAATTTACGACATGTTCCATGCCTGAACTAAGATCAGCGTCACAAATTTCCACACAAGCCGAGCAGCTCCTTGGCTCCAGAAGTTCATCTCCTAAAACCATCTCATTTTGAATAAAATTGAAATGGCATTGCCCACTTAGGAGCTTAATTAGGTATGTTAGTAAGAACTTAAGAAAACTAAAAATTATACAGTACAATACGCACCACCCAGATGGCTATAATTTAACTTAAACCTAATCTATATTCAGTAATATAGTAATAATAGTAAATACATTTAGATGCGACAATTTTAGAGAAAAGATGAACCCCCTTCTTGGTACACAACCTGTTTATGCTATTACCGAATACATGCAAATTTTAAACACTGTACTAGCACATATGTATATGGTGTGTGAGCGATGACTCAATGTTTTACTGAAACAGGGTGTTTTTTTTCACCGCTAGAGGAAATGTACTCGTTCTATATACACAGCTGTTGGCCATTCATCGAGGTTGGGTTCTTCTGCTTTGTTGGCAGGCCGCGCGCTGAACAGGAAGGGTTTCTATTGAGCACGGAAACCCAAATAAATTGTGCTCTTAATCAGATTAATGTTCATCTGAAGTGGGCTGTTTCTCTAAACAGTCTCAAAAATGTCAACATACAACCAATTTGCATTAAGCACACAAGCAATTACACTCCATTCATCAATGCTTTATCTTAAGATTTCTGTTTGCTGTTGATTGCCACAAGCAGAGGAGGAGATGGCACATAATTAGGGGTTTTCAGTCTTTTTTTTTTAAAATGGGAGCACATTATGATTTAGTTTATATATATTATGTGTGGGATGTATAGTATGCTAGTAACTTGAAACTCAATTTTATATTATGATACAAAATCTGATAACATTGGTTATGCTTAAAAACAAAAGCATGATTAATTGATGCATACATGGAGGTGAATAAATGAAACCTTGTGCAGTATCTGAAATGAGCCTTACAGCTTGTGCGGTGTGTTACATTTTGTGTCACATTCCTTCCTCCAAGAGGCAGCAGGATGCAGCTGATTATGAGAGAGGCAGACGGGGTGTAGAGGGGAGGGGAGGGGAGGGGAGGGGAGGTGCTGT